CGGGCGCCCCCGCCCGCCCGCCCGCCCGCCCGCCCGCGCCCCGGCCCTGCGCCGCCAGCCCCGCCGCCCACCCCGCCCGGCCGGGCGCCCCCGCGACGGGACGCGGCGGCCCCGCGCCCGCACCCCGGGCCCATTACCCGCCCCGCCGCGGCAGCCTCCTCGGTGGTCGCCGCCCCCGCCCGCCGCCGGCCCGGGCTCCGCGGGCAGAGAGCGCGGCCGGCCCCCGGCGGCCGGCGCTTCCCGGGGCGCGCGGCCGGAGGAGGACGGGCGGGAGGCCCGCCGGCAGGAGGCGGAGGGCGGGCGGCTCCGGCAACGCGGGCGCCCCCGGCAGCAGCCGCCCAGAACCGCCCCGGCTCCGGCTAACAATAGGCTCCGGCCGCAGCGCGCTGGCTCTTATAGGCGCCGGCACGTCCCGGCCCGGCCCCGGGGCACGCTGGGAAGTGGAGTCCCGGCGCGCCCCCGCCCCGCGGCCTGCCGGGACTTGGAGGCGGCCGGCGCGGAGCCCGCAGTGGCCGCCGCCCGCCCCACCCCGCGCCGCTGCGGCGGACCCTGGGGAAGCGGGTTCCGCGCCGCTGCAGCCGGCGGGCGGGGACGCGCGACCCTCAGCCCCACGTCTTCCAAGACTGAACGAATTCTCCTCTGAACCTCCTTTCCGCTCCCCAGAACCGCATTCCCGGGCCTGAGGAACATAATCCCCCTAATCCTCGTTTATGGGATTTTAGTCTAAGCAGCAAGACGTGCTGCAGCCTGTCCAAGGCAGGGAGGAGATGCGAGCAATGGATTATCTCGGTGATGGACTGACGCATTGATTTAAGTGGTTTCTTTCAAATATAGTTCGGCATGATCTCTGAACGCACATCTTTGCAGCCCATCTTGAGGATGGGGAAAACGAAGACTTCGAAGGCATTACCTAGATGTCAGCGGCCAAGGACACGCAGCCTGGCGTCCTGACTCGCTCAGAAGCGTGCGTCTGACCTGTAAGGCGCTGCAAAATAGAGCTGCACCTTCTGGACCTACGGCCACCCACTCCATCCTGTCATCCTGTTTCCTATTTTCCCTCCCATAGTGGCTTTTTTTTTTTTTTTTAAGATTTATTTATTTATGCATACAAGAACTGGGGTACGGGCCAGAGGTGCAGGGGGTGAGAGGATTCACCAGAGAGAGTGGGGAGCAGAACAGGCAGACTGACTGAAATACACTGCTGAGGGGAGCAGCGGGGGGGGGGGGAGGCAGGAGAGGTCTGCCTCACCATGTAGGTCACCTCCCAAGTGGAGGTTAGAACTCGTGCTGCAGAGGCTGTGACAGCTTCATAGTGCTGGGTCTTAACCCCTTGTGCAACCAGGGAGGCCCCTCCCATTGTGTTTTAATGTCACTGAACACTGCCCTGCTTGCAGATTGTCTACAGGACAATCATGCTGTCACCAGGGCCTTTTACCTAGAACACTTTCATGAGCTGGCTGCACACTTGAAACTTCTTCACTTCATATTTGCTCAAATGTTCCCTTATTAGAGAACTTCCCTAACCATATTTCTGAAATGAAGCTTCCCCTTAGTCATTGTGCTTATACTTCTCTTTAGCATTTACCACCTCGTAATCTTCACTATTTTTTGTTTTCATTTAGTTGATTAAGCTCTATGACAGCAAGGAATTGTTTTGTTTACTGTATCTTCAGCACCTAATACAAATCCTGGAATTTGACATTCAGGAGTTCAGTGGATTTTTACTGGGTATTTATTGAATGGGTGGATGGCAGCATTTAAACTCGGGTTAAGCTGTTTCCAAAGTCTGGTGCACTTTTCACTGCCACCAAGAAACAATGCACTACTGAGTACCAAGCCATCTCAGTTTTAGAATTGAGAGGTTGGGTAGCTTGGAAAAAATGCCAAGAATTCCAGTCCTCTCTCCTGGGTGACACTGGAGACTCCAAGAGGTTAGGAAACAGCATTGCAAAAACAAAACAAAAACAGCAGGTCACACACAAAAATGTAATTCTTAGGGTACCATGCACTGATCATCTCCCTATCTGTTGAAACTTAGGTGTGATCAAGAGCATGGGCACTGGAGCGATACTGCCTGAATGTAAACCCCAACTCTTCCCCTCACTGGGGGTGTGACCTTGGGAAGGTTCATAACTTCCCAATGCCTTAGCTTCCTTATTCCCAAAATGGGGTAAGTGTATGTATCTCATGAGAGTTTTGTGAAGATTTAACAGTTAATATAGTATAAAATATTTCCAACATAGTCAGTGCTATGTTAAGTGCTCATGAGAAGGCCCAGACCACACTATAGGATCAATAGATTAACATAAGGCAGTCAAAAGGCCATATTGGGTAGGCTTAAAAAAATATCATATGCACACACAGCCAGAGTCTGAACGGTCATGAAATTTGTCAGGGTGCCATCAGCCTCAATACTCACGTTTCAGTGGTTAATGAAAAGAAAGTAGATGGCCAAAACAAAGTTGGCACATCCTTCAAGAAGATAGCAGAATCCAATTTGGCAGTGAGCTTTACATCATCGGGCCCTCTAAAAAACATGACAAATACTTATCAGAATCATTTAGTCACCAGATATCATTGTCTGGATTGATTTACGATTAAGTTACACAATGGTGCTGAATTGCCAATCATAACTGCAATTCTGCTTCCTGTCTAAGCAGGGTGCGTGAAGGGCAAGTGACCAGAAATCTCAAGTGCAATAGAATAGAGAATACTAAGAAAAGTGGGGGGAAAACACTAAGTTATTAATATGTAAATAAAACTGGACATCCAATTCTAAATGTCACGACTTTGTTTCAGACCTATGTATAGTCAGTCCTTTCGGTGGTCAATAGGTTCTAGGAAACAAAACAAAGTATAATGAAAGAAGATCCTCAATGTTGTTTCATTCTAAGTCTGCCAGGATTGGTTTTTTTTTCTCATCAGCATTATAATGAAATGATGTTGAATGAAACTACATTATTGAGAACCTGCTGTGTATTCTTAGCTGTATGGATTAGCTAAGAATATGCAAATCACAGATGTGTGGTTTGTTTTAGGAATAAAAAAGCTAAAGCGGGATAGGTAGAAAACATATGCTCAAAAACAGCAGTCACAAATGACAACCAAAAGTGAGTTTCCAGGTCCTGGGTAGTGTTTACATATCTGTATTGCAATCAATAATATCCTAAGTTTATTGAGCAACTGAGTAAGTGTGTTAAGTACAAAATAAAACTGTTTTATACTCATTATCCTTTTTAAACTTTCCAACAAACCTATCAATTCAGTATTATCTCCTTTTTAAAATGAGAAAGTTGAAATTTAAGAGATTATATGGTCCAGGGTCTATTCTAGCAAAAAAGATTAAGAGGTGGGGGGAGGAAAAAAGAAAAAAAAAATATTAAGATCTGGGATTTAAACACCAAAAGATAAACAATAATGCACTGGGAGGTGAGGAGGTAAAAAATACTACTATGAGGCAAGCTTCTTAAAGAAAAAGAGTTAAAAATCTAAGGTACTGTATTTACTTTTCTGATACAGAACCTACAGATTTTGTCCTGAAGTTGTATGTTGACATTTAATTGTAATTTATATTTAATTATAATATAGCTCAAGTCAAATTAGTTCTTCATGACTAATTCCACACACCAAGAGGGCAATGTGTGAAAATCTGGAGAGAGCCATAGCAATTTAAGAGTACAAACAATGCAGAAACTACATGGATGTTATCAAGGAGTTTCAAAAAGGATATTCACAAATTGATCTGTATCTATTGAAAAAGTAAAAGGTTGGCCCTCCCTTGTGGCACAGGGGTTAAAGTCTAAGTGCTATCAAACTATAGCCAGCCACTGTGGCATGAGTTCAATCCCCGGCATGGATGCTAACCTACATGGCGCAGCAGACCTCTCCTGGCTTGCTCCTGGCTCCCCGCAGCAGTGTATTTCAGTAGATCTGCCTGTTCTGCTCCCCACTCTGTCTCTGGTGAATCCTCTCACCCCCCACAATTCTGGCCTGTACCCCAGCTGTTGTATAAAAATAAATAAATCTTAAAAAAAAAGCAGAATTATGTAGGATTATTCTCTAAGAATTAGTATATAAATGATGTGGCTTGGGGGACATTTGTGCCATTTTGTTGGGAATGGAATTCTCACCTGGGACCAAGAGGCCATAACACATTCCTATAAAGGAACTACCCATGGCCCAGGAAGCTGAGTAATGATTCAATAAACTGATAAAATATCGCTCAGCTTCATCGTTTGGGCCCCAAGCTCTGTGGAATTGTTAGGTACTAGCTGGAGACAAAAGCTACAGGGAAGAGGGAAGCAGCTCAGCTCTGATGTCAAAGGTTTGCACCAAAATTTGTGTTACTTTCAAAACTGAATGCTGAAGTTTCATTTAATTCCTCATGGTAGTTGTAAGACAGCCCAAATCTCCACAGCAACCTTATACAAAAGACTTTCTCAGAGTCCTTGGAGGTACAAAGGGTTTCCAGAACATTCATCAGGCATAAATTAGAAATAGCTTAGTTCCCTTTGCTAAGCTTCTGCATGTGCCTCCACCTTAGTGGGAGATCATGCTCAACATAGGCAGTGCCTGACTGTGCCCAAGATCCCCAGGAATCAGAACACCTGCCCCGTTTCTCATTTGTCTTGTGTCTGTTGTACTGTAATCTCCTAGACAATATGACCAACTCCTTTTCTTCCCCCCTTTAAATGGCATCTTAAATAAATCACTCATGTAGGCAAACTTCATTGGACATATTGGACATTCTTATAATAGCCACATTTCATGTCGTGACTAATACTTCATTTTTAGAGTCCTGCCATGATTCCACCACTCCCTTAATTTCCCAATAACTCCCTTTTAATGAGCAGATCTTTATACATCAGATTCTCCTAAATGGGACCTATTACACTTCCAACAGACTATACAGTCCTGTCATACAGGATGCTGTTGCAGTTCTCAGGAGGGTCTAAAATCTAACTATTCTCACCTTCATATACCTTCACAGTAAGAGAAACATTAAATCATGTATTTTGTATTTTATTTTAAATATCAACTGTCACATTCTAAAAAAGATGAAATTAGCAAATTTTACTTCTAGGAATATATTTTACAGATACAAGCAAAAAACTTACAAGGATGCATGTTCAAAATGACTTAACCTAAATTGCATCCATGAGGAATGGTTATTTTAAAAAAGAGAATGATGTATAACTATACATTCTAATATAGGAGGACATTCAAAATTTCAAAAGAAAACTTGCAGATCATTAGTGTAACATGAGCCCGAGAGTGGGATAAATTTTTTGCAATAGAAGTAGGAGGTCAGTAGAAAAAGTTATACCCTTCTTTATTGTTTGAATCTATCACTTTAGGTATTACTTTCATAATGAAAAAGATAATTTAAATTTACATTTACTTGAGAGGAAGATTCAGTTTTTTAAAGAAAGTTGAATAATCAAAATATTCTAACACAATACCAATTTTTATAAATTATACAGCTTTGGCACTATAAGTATTCTTTTTAGAATTAAAGAAAGTCTAAGAGAATTTCTGGATAACTTAAGGATCTGTAATTACAAAGTCATATAAATACATCTCTATCAATTTGAAGATTACTCTTAAAAAAACCCAACTCCAAGTAAAACTTAGTAAGTATAATTTATAGTAAATATATTAATAGCACTGTGTGTATCATTTGCAGTAAACAAGAGCCAGTTTCAAATTTAGAAGGGACCTTAACAGTGATCTAGTCAAATCCTCTCAGCCTAGCATTCAGATAGAATAAGAAGAAAAAAAACCCAACCCAGTAGCAGCCTGCTAAGAAGAGAACTGACTTCCCTGAAGCAGAGAACCAGTCCTAAAAACATAACACAACTAGAAATATCCCCCCACAGCTGGGACATCTGGTAATCATTCCCTAAAAAAGTATTTTGGCCTATGTGTCAAGTTGCCCAGGTCATTTGACTTGATTTTCTGGTTTCAAAGTTTTCAATTTGTTTCAAACTGAAAGAAATCAGACCATATTGCCGGTTGATTTTAATGAACAAAAATCTCTGTATAAAAACATTTAAACTTCATCAAATGCTTTAAACACACACACATCCAAGCCCAATACAGAATCTCCGAACATTATCTTTTTTCACTTCAACATAATGTGTAAAGAGATTTCTGGATAAAACTGTACATATGAAAAAAAAAAAGAGGACCCCTAGTCTTTTACACACACACACACACACACACACACGCACATTCTCTCTCTCTCTAAAGAAAAAATTTAAAATATCTAAAAGTATGAATGGGATTGGAATGAACTTCTTGTAATGCTTATATAAAAGAACACTGCAAGAAGTAAGATGTAGAACGTATAATCAGAAAGCAGATGTTAGCCAAACTCAATAGTTTGATATCATTCAAGAACAATGAATTTTAGGAGTTACAAATAATCCCTAGTTTTCACCACCTCAGATTCTATAAATCAGATGACTGATGATGCTTAAAAAGCATCTACGCTTTTATTTTGTGTCGCCTTTGATGCATTCATCACTAGGTTTATCCCTTTCAGTGGTTGATTTCTCAATTTTTATCAGTTATCGCCTGTTCACAAGAAGAGCCACAGTAAGAAAGGATGGCAAGCAGGGGGGCTGCAGTGAAGGGTGGTGGTTATCAAGAGCCGGACAGCCTGGGTTTGGATTTCAGTGCCACTACCTCCTGGTTGCCTACCTATTACTTAGCAAGAACTTAGCCACTATGTGTCTCTAGTCCCTTATCTTCAATTAGGGATCAACATTACCTACTTAATCTGGGGTTATTGAGATTTAAACAAGATAATCCATTTAAAGAATTGATCTGTTCGGCACAAGTAAATGCTCAATAAATGTAAGCTAAAATATTAAAGGGGAACAAATTTTTCCTTTCATGAGGTTTTCAGGGCCCAATTGTGGCAAAAAGCCACTAAGTGTGATGCAAAAAGAGATTGAGGATCTAGTCTTAGGAATATAGGTGTTCACTTTTATATTAGAAAAAATTACATGGCTCCATATTACAAAAATTTAACATCTTTCCATTAAACATCACACAATTCTCATTATCACGCCCTACATACAGCCTAGATGGTATGTAGTTTCTAATAATATTCAACAATGACAGGGTCCAGAAATTTCAACCAAGAAATAGCTGCAGAAATGCATGTTGGGCAGTAATCTGTGTGCTACAAGAGCGTGCATCAACACAAATGGCTGGGATTCTGCCTCCACCGCCTGGACTCCCCACACAGTCAGATGAGTCAGGTTCCTGCAGACCTTCATATTTCCATTTTCACCCCTTCCAAGAGAGGGAAGTTTCCAAGAGGTGAAGGAAGCAGAAGTCACTGAGGATTGAAGGCCCCACAACTACTTCAGTATGATATGATAGCTATCATTGGTTTCTGCTGTAAAAGAGAGAGAGAGAAAAAAAATCTTCAGTTACCTCTACAACATAGGAGAAAAAAGAATGGTAAGGTTCTTTTGAGAAGGAAAAAAAATACAGCAGGGCAAAGGACAGTATGCCTATTAATTATCACAGGACATATAATCAATACATATTATAAAACATGACTCAATTTCCTCATCTCTCCAAGGAAGGGGGAACAGAATGACAGAGTCATCACTTACACTTCTACTCTGATAATGGCAGAGTAGAAGAATTCATACAGAGAAACGATCTCTAATGTCACTTTTTCTACTTCAGATAAGGTCGTTGATACTTCCCTTTTTTTCACAAAGAAATATTTAAAAAGCTCTTAAATGCCTTACAGAAAAGCATTTGTTTTACTATTGTATTACCTTTCATTGTGTCCAGAATAAAACAAGCTTCTTCCTGAAAGTTTTGTATCATCTGCAAAATGCAAGAAAATCTGCTGATTATTAGAAACTTTGGTTTGTTGTATCTATTTTGACATTAGATTTAAATAAAAACAATCCTTTGTCTTGTTATATTGTCATTCGCTTAATTTTTAGGTTTAAAAAACTAAGCAGACTAAAACAATGATTTTTAAATTGTAGTATTTCTGGGTTAATCCCAATATTTTCCAAGGGTTACAGACATTATAGAACTACATGGAAAACTGACTTCTAGGTCCTCAACTCTCATATGCATTCTTTCCTAAAACCACCTGTTCAGATTTCCTTTGCCACTTTCCCTTCTCAAACACCTTTTCCCAGTTTACGAAATAAAGGCATGAGTCTCACCTTCTTGGAATCCTACTAAGATACACTGCCCTGGAGTATTAAAGGCTCTAGGATGCCAAAGTGTAAATGCAAATGTGAACTATGATTACTGGACAACAAACTCGTGTGAGTCACGTGGTTTCCTTTCATCAGAATTAAAGAGTGACCTAATCAGATTGTCAAGTGACTGGAGATTCAAAATACTTTTTTATAACATCACTGTATAATTTTTGGACACTGTGGAACAAGGATATCTGGCGGTCTGCCTGCCACAAGTGCATCCCTGGCAAATGACCCTTCATACCATTATAGGAAGGACTGCTCATTTGATCCAATAATCCACTTCTCATCGCTAAGTTGGATATGGCCTCTGTGGGTCCCCTGAAGCCCAGGTCAGTGCGACACACACAGAATTATCTTCACTAATCCTATATGCATACTTCACTATTTCTTCAGAGGAGACAACACCCTTCCTTACTTTTTCTTTGAGTTTTTCCTTCGTTTGGGAAATAGCTGTTGGGAGCATTTCTGCTTCCTTTAACTGTTTTTGCAGTCCTGAATATCACTGTGCTCTCCTTTACCTCTTGTCTAAAACTTGCATTTCATGATGGATTCTTCCCTGAATTAGTGCCAGTTTCATCAGTTCCTGAAATCCCCCATCTATGTGAACTAAAAAAGCTAGTACTTGGTTTCTCCTCTAGATTGTAACAACTTTTAGTTTCTCAAAATTGCCAGCATTTCTGTAGGAACCTTAGATAAGGCCTCCAGCTGTTCCAGCAAAGACATCAACTGCTCCTTCTTGCCACTCAAAGACGGTGCCAGGTCCCTGACCACCCCTGCAGCCAGAGTGTGTGCAGTCATTTGCTGGTCCAAGGACCGTCAGGTTTCAGAGCAAGAAATACTTTTCTTAATGTCTAATAATTACTTTACAAAATATGTAATACATGTTGTCTTAATTGATTGTAACATTACGATGATAATTCTATTCAGAATAACTGATCAAATTTTTTATTGAAACAAGTTTTTTAGCTGAAATAAATTTTCGTTTCAAAGAAATATGGTAGGATAATTAACAAAAGATGTTCAAGCAGAAAAGGTAGGTGAGGCAAAATTCTATGTGGAGGATGAATGGAAACATGTATTCAAGGACACAAAGAATGATATAAAATTCTGTTAAAGAAAAGTACATTAATATATTTTCTTTTCAATGGATGATAATAGTGTTAAATAACTCTTGTATATAGGTAGAAAGTGTATGACATTTTTAAATGTCATACAATATATATATATTTTTAAAGATTTATTTATTTATACAAGCACTGGGTAGTCAGAAGCGTGGGAGGGTGAGAGAAATCACCAGAGTCAGAGCTGAGAGCACAGGAGGCAGACTGACGAAATAACACTGCTGAGGGGAGCAGCCGGCGGCAGGGGAGGTCTGTGCGCCATGTGGGACCCTCACCCGGTGGCCGGGGATCGAACCGGCGCTGCAGAGCCTGTGGGCAGGCTTCGCAACCCAGCGCTCAACTGCTGCGCCACTGGGAGGCCCTAAATGTCATACAATATTCCAGAAATTACAACTTTTTCAATTATTTAAGCAGAAAACAAAAAATATTAAGTCAACTAATAATGTGCAAGGGGATACATGGTGTTGTAAAATTATTTTAGGAAGTAGGGCAAGCAAAACACTTGAAAATCTGTGATCTAGAAAACAGCACTCTGCCTTAGTAGAACTACTCTCACTCTTGCCATGTGCCTTGACAAACGTATTGTCGCCTGAAAAAGTACCTCATCACTGATGAGCACATGGATTCCTGTTGGCCCCTGCTTGTAGATCTGGCTGATCTGGTGAGGCGAGATACTGAAAAGCTGTGCAATTTTCTCTGTCAATTCAATAGCAGTCAATTCTTCTAGATAGATGGCATGATACACTGCAAAAGGACAAAGGAAGGACAGTCAATACAAAGCTCCTTTGCTCTTAGTTAATCTGAGCACCAGCAACATCCACTTTTCTGAAGGGCTCAGTCAGACTGCCTGAATTCAAATCCTAACTCTACCATTTGCTAGCAAGTTACTTAACACAGCCTCATTTTCCTCATCTAAATATTGGTAATAATAATAACATCTACTGCAAAGAAGAGATATTTGTTGCAAAAAATTAAAGTATGTAAAAGTGCTTGAGAAGAGTGCCTGGCATATATTAGGAACTCCAATATACATTAGCAATCACCTTTGCCTCTAGCAAATGCTAAATGTGCTTTTGGTAAATTGCCAACACGCATGCTCAGAAGTCATCTCTTCACATTTGGCCCATCCAAAACGACCTACCGAAGAAAGTACCATTTGAGTCTCCATCCTCATGCTTCTGCTGCTGTTGCTGCTGCTGTTGCTGCTGCTCCCTCAACTGCAAGGACTCTTGACAAACATAAATGGTCAGTCGTGGCCGCACCATCCTGAGGAGGGAAAAAAGGTTGTTAGTCTTACAGTTTTCATGGTAAACAAATTTTAAAGGAGAAATTGTATGTCTACGTTAATGCTACAGAGCAGGGGTTGAATACTAGCAGTCCATGGACAGCTCATTTGCTATGTTATTTATTTATTTATTTATTTATTTATTTTTTGTTGGACCCTCGCTGGTGGCCGGGGAATGAACCAGCACTGCAGAGGCTGAGGGCAGCCTCGCAGCCCAGTGCTCAACCGCTGCGCCACCAGGGGAGGCCCAATATGCATTTCTTTTTTAAAAAAAGATTTATTTATCTATGCATACAAGAGCTGGGGCTCAGGCCAGATGTGCGGGAGGGTGAGAGGATTCACCAGAGACAGAGCGGGGAACAGAACAGGCAGACTGACGAAATACACTGCTGAGGGGAGCAGTGGGCGAGACAGGAGAGGTCTGCTGCACCATGTGGATTTCTCCCTGGCTGGCCGGGATCAAACCCATGCCGCAGAGGCTGCGGACAGCTTCACAGTACTGTGCTCAACTGCCTGCACTGCCAGGGAGGCCCTCATTTGCTATGTTTTATTAGTTCCCAGCTGGTGAATATTAAGTTTTGTTTTTTTCTTTAAACTGAATTGTATCTAGTAGAAGGTATCATATAAACCTCTGAATTTTTGCCTTTCCTTAAAAAAATTCAGAGCTGGCATATATCACTCTTAAAAACCACAGTCAGCTGACCTTGACTGTCACTCACTCACATGTGGCCACTACCATCATTTGACCTTCAGTGTAAAGGTTACAAATATTCAGAATGTGTGATCTACTGTTTTATGAATCAGGTTCAAGATACGCCTTTTTCTTAAGCGTGCCAAAACAGTGAACCAGACAATCTTATTTTCCTCATTACATTCTCCTAAGTAGTTTAAGACTTCTTTCTGTTCGTATCTTTTAGACAACAGTATCCAATTATTGATCTGATCACCTCATTCCTTCCTATTTCTAAACTCCCTTTATTTTTTTTTAAAGATTTATTTATTTATTTATACAAGCACTGGGTACAGTCAGAAGCGCGGGAGGGTGAGAGAATTCACCAGAGCCAGAGCAGGGAGCAGAGCAGGCAGAAGGACCGAAGTACACTGCTGAGGGGAGCAGCGGGCGGCAGGAGAGGTCTGCGCGCCATGTGGAACCCTCCTCCGGTGGCCGGGGAGCAGCCAGGGATCGAACCGGTGCTACAGAGACTGCGGGCAGCTTCACAACCCAGTGCTCAACTGCTGCGCCACAGGGGAGGCCCTCTAAACTCCCTTTAAACACTTAAAAAAAAGAAAGATTCTGGGACACGTAAACGTTGCCCTTAGAATGCTTATTTTTTTGTTATTGGAATTTGTTCCCTGGTAGGATGGGGGTTGTAAGGAGTTTGACCTTCGTCTTCCTCAATAAATGCCAGTTATGACATGTTGTGTGCACACAGCC